GCTGGGAGACCCAAGCTGCTCCTCACACATCGGGTGGTTGATGCTGGCTGTCGGGTGAAATAGCCACACACGGCCCCTCCATGGGGCCTGGGCTTCCTCAGAACACGGTGGCCGGGTCTCAGAGATGGACAGAGAGAGAGAGACACACACACACACACACACACACACACAACACACACGCAGACCTACCTGGATTCCAGGCAGAAGCCATACTGCCTTCTACAGCCCAGCCACGAAGGTCACACAGCGCCACCTCCGCGTTCTATTCAGTAGAATCAAGTCGCTAAACTAGTTCACGTTCAAGCGAAGGAGAATTAGACTCCACTCTTTGTGGGAGGACTGTCAGAATCAGTGGACATGTTTTAAACCCACTACCCCGCTTCCTTCCTGCGCGTGGGGCTTGCTGCTGCCTGACACGTTACACGCTGTTGACTGTGCTCGTGCTCCCCAAGGGCAGGGACTTGGTCTGCTCTGACTGCTGCGGCATCGCCAAGGCCCGGTACAGGGCCTGTCATAGGAGGGGCTCGGGAAGCATCTGGTGGATGCGGGGCTGGAAGGAGGCTTCCAAAAGGCAGCTTTCCACAGGGCTGTCTGTCCGGCTTAGTTCCTCACAGGACAAATTCTCCCAAGCATCCCGACCGGCAGTGGACGGGGGTTCCCAGGCTGGACGGGTCTGTCTGGCCACAGCCTCGTTGTCCTGAGCACCCAGGGTGGCTCAGGAGAAAGCCCCTCAGGAACAAGGCGTAAAGCAGGGGTTGCAAACTCTAAGGCCCACAAGGGCCACAGTGGCACAGCGAGCAGGCCAGGTTTGAGACAAGGGACTCCGGTGACCTGCAGGCCCACGCCCACCTGAAGGCACTCACGTTCAAAACACTGGGGAGCATCCAGCCCGTGTCCAGGTGACACCTGGGCTCCAGGAGCAAGGCAAAGCCGAGGGCAGGGTGAGAGCTGCCTGGCCCTGAGGCCTCTCTGAGCCGCCAGGCTGACATTATGGTCCCTCCTCAGGACTGTCCCCTCCTAATTCTGTGGAAGAAGGGGGACTCTCCCGGCTTCATCCGGGGCCTGCCTCAGGGTGCACGTGGGGTGAAGGTGACCTCCAAGGCAGGCAGACCACGTCCAGATGCCAGCTCTGCCCCTCTCGGTTGTGTGGTCTCAGAAGCTCTGAGCTCCCGTGTCCTCATCTGTAAAATGGGGGCCCGTGTTAGTTATCTACTGCTGTGTAACAAGTGGCTCCAGAATGTGGTGGCTTCAAACATCAGTAGTCATGCATTCTCTCTCGCGGGTTCTGTGGATCAGGAATTCAGGGGCGGCTTAGCTGGGTAGCTCTGCCCTGTGTCTCTTACAAGTTATAGTCAGATGTCGGCAGGGGCTGCAGCCATCTGAAGGCTTGACCGGGGCCAGAGGACCTGCTTCCAAGAAGGCTCACATGGCTGTTGGCAGGAGGCCCTGGTTCGTCTCCACGTGGGGCTCCCCGTTGCCGCTCCGGTGTCCTCACGTGGCAGCTGTTTCCCCCAGAGCAAGTGATCCAGGAGAGAATGAGGGAGGAGGAAGCCACGGTGCCTTTTATGGCCTCGCTCCTTCACTTCCACAGTATCTCATAGGTCACACAGCCGTGTCTGGAGTGAGAGGACCACAGTAGGGCGTGACTACCAGGAGGTCAGACTCCTTGGGGTGGGGGGGCGTGGCAGATCTTGGAGGCCGCCTGCCATAACTTGTCTGCTTTCTTATCTGCAAAATGAGGACCACTTCCCACCTCTCAGAGCTGTTACGGCTCCAGACAACAGGAGCAAAGCTGTCGGCACGGAGCCTGGCACGTACCAAGCGCTCACCTGTGTTAGGGCACCCCCATCGGCTCCCACGAAAGCTGGAGGACCAGCCCACCCTCCCTGCGCCCTGCTCACCCATCGGGGGCCCCTTCTTTCAATGAGTGGGAACTAGTAACAGGCATTGCTTTTTCTTCTTCTTCTTAAGGTTTTAAACACCTAATTTATTCCATCCATTAGATAGATTTTGTAGATTTAATCATTTTCACAGTTGGTGGCTCATTGGATACTCAAGATAAACTCCAAATGAAAGTATAATGGTGAGGACAAATGAGTTTTCACACCACAATGGCAGAAACTTGCTTGGGAAGAGAGTTTAAGAGGAACAAAAATATATACAGATATCATTTTTTTTCCCTCCCGGCAGCCGCTTTTGCTGACTACAGTAGGTTACTACAGTTAATTTCACCAGTTTTGTTCATCTGTAAAATTGCATAAAAGTGACATTTTTGTGCTCATTATAGCAACTGCTGATTTATGGCTGGTAAATGAAGAGCTGGCCCCTTTTTTGCGGGCCTCTCCGAGCGGCGCTAAGTGCCCATGAAATTGCTTGTATAATGTAGTTTAAATCCAGTCTCGGAGAAAGATTCCCCCGTTGGCCAAAGTGACATTTCCATTCTCCACACTGGGTTTATCTGAGGCCATGCAGGAGTGGGCTGCCCCAGGCAGGGTCCGGATGGGGGCCCGTGGCCGGCCCAGCCTCGGCTTCCCCTGCCGGGCCCAGGTTAGGCCGCAGGGGTGGAGTGGACTGGGTGCCCACCCCTTCCTGCCTGCTGCCCTGCCCAGCTCTGGCACATCCCTGCCCCTGAGGGCAAAGGGGAGTGACCTTTCTAACACCACCCCTGCCCCGCCTGCCCTGCCTGCCTCATCACTCCCGTGGCTGCAGCACTGCTGACACTGGGGCCAGACCGTTCTTTGTGGCAGGGGCTGCCCTGGGCATCGTAGGATGTTTAGCAGCATCCTAGGCCCTTCCCCACATTGTGACAACCAAACTCCTCTCCAGACACGGCCAGTGTGTCCTGGGGCAGGACCCCTGAGCATCTCTGGCTCGCTCGGGCCCCCCGCCTCTGGAACCACTGCTCCCCATCTTCTCTCCTCCACCTGTCTGCTCGGGCGTCTGCTCTTACTCTCAGTTAGTTACACCTCCCGCCCGGACGTGCCTCCTCACCCCCGGCCCTTTGCCCGCGCCGTTTCTTCTGCCTGCAGTATGCTTCTCTCCTTATCCTTTGCTGGGAGCCTGCTTCTTCTGGAAGGCCGTCTCTGACGCCCACCCACCAGGTGAGGCTCCCTCGTGTCGCCACGCCGCCTGCACCTCCCATCACAGCAGCATTGGGCTCCGACTGGCTGTGAGCCCACAGGGGTCGTGGGTGAGGCTCTGCAAGGATGGGATGTGGAACGTGGCCTTCCAGTTGGTGGGGAGGCCTGGCAGGGGGTGGGGTCTGCCTTCTGTCCCAGACAACACTAGGCCCGCCTGTGGAGGAGCCCCTTCCCCTCCCAGGAAGGCCCTTGTCCCTGGCAGATGGGGAGGGTATTAACACACTTAACGAGCACCCCCTTCTGCTAACGGGCTCCACCACAGGACTCGGTAACTCACAGCCACCCTGGGAGGTAGTGTTAGCTGCAGTGTAACCCCATTTTACAGAGGAGGCCACTGAGGCTCAGCGTGGTGAAATCCCCCCTCCCCAGCCCCCCTGGCACAGTCACTGGTGGGCCCCTTGGCACAGTCAGTCCTTGAGGCCACTCCACAGACCTGGCACCATCCTTATCCCCATTCCACAGGTGGGGAAACTGAGGCTCAGCCAGACAAACAGCTTGCCCAGGGCCACACAGCCCCCCCACCAGGCAGGATCCACCAGGCCTGCCAGCTCCAAAGCCAGGGTCTTTCCATCTGCCTCACACAGGGCCCGGCTCCCTTCCCCGCCCCAGGGAGGGTCCTGCGCGGCACTGAGGAGCATCTCAGGACCAGGGAGGGGCTCTGGATGGGAGAAGGGGGTCTGCCCAACGGCAACCCGCCTCCCCTGGACAAGGACCAGTTGTGCCCACTGGCACTGGGGACAGCCAGCCTGTCACAGAGTACACCCTTCAGCTGACAGCTTACAGAAAAGGCAGCGGCCACCACGCTGGTCGTACAGGGGACAGCAGGCTCAAGGAGGGGATGGGCAGCCAGTGGGGGCGGAACCCCTCCTCACCCGCCTGGCCATGGAACCAGGAAACCTGAGGGTGGGGATGGAAGCCAACAGCAGCGGCTCCCGCTTCACCTCCTCCTCTGCGCCAGGCCCCGTGCTGGGCCCTGTTCACACAGCAACGCTTAACCATCCCAGGAGGTCGCAGGTCATCATCAGCCCATTTTACAGATGAGGGAAGGGAGGCACCGAGAGGAAAGTGAGGGGGTGGAAGGAATGAACACCCCCCAGAGCAGTTGAAAATGAAAGACAGCCGTACAGAGTGCCCTAGAGGGTGTGCAGCCCCCAGGACTCCTGTGCTCCGCCGTGGGGAGGGCAGCCTGGCACAGTCTCTTGGGCATTTTCCCCTGAAACTGAACATTCTTCCCTCCCGCATCCCAGCAATTCTGCCCCTGGGCATATTCCCAAGAGAACGCACTGAATCCGTGAACCGGGGGTCGTAGCACTATTCCGATGAGCCCCGTGCTGGAAGTGACCCCAAGGCCATCAACAGCAGGCAGGATGAGTAAATAGTGACGCAGTCACACGAACACCACACAGCAGCAAGAAAGAATGGACCGCCACCCCCCACGGCCACCTGGATCAATCTCGAGACATAACCTCGAGTGACAGAGGCCCGACACAAATGAGTGTGCACTGCCCGGGCCCATCTCACCACGTCCAGACACAACGAGTCCAGGGTGTCAGAGCAGGAGAGCCGTCCCTGCACTGGAGGGGCACAGGCATTGTCCCGTCCCTAGGCTTAGGGTCATGTGAGTGTGTTCTGTCTGTGACAGTTCAGCAAGCTCATGACGTGCGTGGTTCCTTCTGTCCTCTACTCCTTCATCCAAAGCTTAAAAACAGAGAAGGAATGAATGAAGGAGCCAATGAATGAACAGAGAAACAGGCGAGGGAAGGGCGAGTCCTGGGGAGCAGTGGGGGTGTGGCCTCCGGGGTCCCTGGGTCGCAGGGCTGGCTCTCACCTGTGCTTCCCTCTCCTTGCTTGTCCCCGCAGGCGAGACAGTGGCCAGCTCCATGCATTCCTCCCGCTACCCGAGCCCGGCCGAGCTGGACGCCTACGCCGAGAAGGTGGCCAACAGCCCGCTCTCCATCAAGATCTTTCCCACCAACATCCGTGTGCCCCAGCACAAGCATCTCAGCCGCACCGTCAACGGCTATGACACCAGCGGCCAGCGCTACAGCCCCTACCCGCAGCACAGCGCCGGCTACCAGGGCCTGCTGGCCATCGTCAAGGCCGCCGTCTCCGCCTCTGGGGTGTCCGCGCCCGCTGGGCCCGCCAAGAGCGTGCTCAAGAGCGCCGAGGGCAAGCGGACCAAGCTGTCGCCGGCCGCCGTGCAGGTGGGCATCGCGCCCTACCCCGCACCCAGCACGCTGGGGCCGCTGGCCTACCCCAAGCCGCCTGAGGCGCCCGCCCCGCCACCCGGCCTGCCCGCGGCCGCCCCCGCCGCCTCGGTCATCCCCCTGCCCGGCCGCGGCCTGCCCCTGCCACCCTCCAACCTGCCCTCCATCCACAGCCTCCTCTACCAGCTCAACCAGCAGTGCCAGGCCCCGGGCGCCGTGCCCCCCGCCTGCCAGGGCGTGGCCATCCCCCACCCCAGCCCGGCCAAGCACGGCCCGGTGCCCAGCTTCCCCAGCATGGCCTACGCGGCCCCTGGCGGCCTGCCTGACTGCCGGAAGGGCCCCGAGCTGGGCCAGGGCAGCACACCGGCCTTGACGTTGGCCGGCGCCACCAAGCCTGCAGGGTACGCGGACGGTGGCCTGGATTACCTGCTGTGGCCGCAGAAGCCGCCCCCACCGCCGCCCCAGCCGCTTCGGGCCTACAGCGGGGGCACGGTGGCCAGCAAGTCCCCCGAGGCCTGCGGGGGGCGGGCGTACGAGCGGGCCAGCGGGTCGCCCCTCAACTGCGGCGTGGGGCTGCCCGCCAGCTTCACTGTGGGCCAGTACTTCACCGCCCCCTGGAACAGCGTGCTGGTGACTCCCACCAGCGACTGCTACAACCCCGCGGCGGCGGCAGTGGCGGTCACCGAGCTGGGGCCCGGGGCGGCCCGGGAGCTGGCGGGGCCCCCTGCAGAGGCCCTCTCAGGCCTGCCCAGCAAGGGCGTGTGCAACACGGCGGTGCTCAGCAGCAGCCTGCAGTCGTTGGAGTGTCTCATCAGTGACATCCGGCCGGCCTGCATCAAGGAGCAGATGCTGGGCAAGGGCTACGAGGCGGTGGCCGTGCCCCGGCTGCTCGACCACCAGCACGCCCACATCCGCCTGCCCGTCTACAGATAAGGCCTGCCCGACGGACAGATGGACCGGGTGCTGAGGAGGGGCAGGCCACAGAACAGGGTGGGCGGCACAAGGGGCACCCAGCCCTGCCCCGAGTCCGGGTGCCCACTGATGCCCGCAGGGAAGCCAGGCCAGCCGCTGCCATGCAGCCACTCGTCAGGGAGGGGCAAGGCGACCTGGCTCACCAAGGCCCCTCCCCCTCATCAGCTGCCCCAGGACACAGGGAGGCCCCGGGGCAGCCACTGATGTCCACGCCTCCCTTCATCCGAGCTGGCAGAGGCCGCGAGAGAGAAACCACTTAGAAACAGGAATCATTCTTTCTGGCTCTCCAGGAGAGGGGCTCAGGCGGGGGTGGGGGGGATGTGGGAGGAGGTGTGATGCTCTAGCTCCTCCCCCCACAAGCTCCCCAGTCTCCTGGAAAAGGAGGGTGGGGGGCGACTATAGGACATCACTGGGCTCACAGTGTCCCCCACTGGCCAATCTAGGTGAAGACAACTCTATTTGAGGCTCCAGGGACCTGCAGTCCCCCTGCTCCTCCTCCTCCAGACTCTCCTTCCCCTCCCCCCATTCCATCCCAACACAGAAAAATCGCACCCCCATCCCCATTCTCCAAACCCTGGACTACCACCTTCCCCCTTCCCTCTAGTACATCTAACAGGGCTGCTGGGCACAGTTGTGCAGACTGTGCACTGCACAAGGGCACCTCGTCCAAGGAGACACCACTTGCATCCTAGACTTGTATATTTATTATGGCAATTTTCCGAATCCTGAGGAAGGGGTGCCACTTTCCTATTCGCACAAAGGCACCACAGGGGCTAACAATGGGCCTGCCATCCTAGACCCCATCCAAGGGACCCTACCCTTCCTTCTTCAGGGGTTCTCCTAGGAGCCAGTGAGGAGGCAATCTACTGGGTTTACTTGGGAGACCCCATCTAACTCCTTTCCTGCGAGCCGCCCGAAGGCCCATCCCACACCCTCGACGCGCGGGAAGGCAGGCAGGGTCCCCCCACTGAGCCCCCAAGTCCCGGCCCCTCTGGCGCTCCGGAAGCGGTACTGTATCTTTCTCCAAGGCCTGTTCAAGCACTAAGTGCATTTACAAATCTCTGAGAATGTTTTTTTTTATACTAAAATTGACCATTATATTCTACTGTGAGAAGTGCAGTCTGCACTATATTGTTTTAAAAACGAAGAGAAAGAAAAAAAAGGCAAACAGGCGGTGCCTCGGCTGTGGGCTCGTTGGCAGCTCTGGGTCTTGCTCTTTCCGTCGTCCTCCCTGCGGGCGTGCAGCGGCCGGCGCCACCCGGCTGGGCGTGTTAGTCACTCCTCCAGCTCTTTTGGGAACCGAACCCGGGCCCCTCTGGCTGGTCCCCCGAATGGTGCAGAGGGGTTGGGGGTGGGGGGGCCCGGCATCACTAAATTCCTTCCCAGCTCTTCCTCTGTGCCTGGCACACTCCAAGCTTGGCAGCATGACTGGGGACAGGCCAGAGTGGCTGAGCAGTGGCATCTCCCCGGCCAGTCCCAGCACACACCCACCCCCTGCCCAGGTGCCTGGGGATTTGCAGGAGACCACCCCCACCCCCAACCCCTCCCAGGGTGCTCAGCATTTATCAGGCCCTTGCTGTGTGCTGGGCATCTCATCGACACCATGTCTCAGTGGAGCCTCGCCACCCCTTGCAAGGTAGGGGGGGTTGAGAGGAGAAAGTGACACTCAGAGATGTGAAGTACACACAGAGGGCACACAATAGGTCTGTGGAAAGCTCAAACCCCATAGCATGGACTCTTCCTCACATCCTGTCCCCACCTCCTCCCCTGGCCCACTGGCCTGACATCTGGGCAGTTACGTGGGCCTCCCCTGCCATGCACAGAGCCCTGTCCGGGTGCCTGGCGTGGTGAGGTCCAGGGCAGAAGCGGGAACAGAGGGAACACCCTGGATGCACCCTGTGGTGGGGCCTCCACCTCCCTCAGGCCAGGCCCGGAGCCCGGGAGGAAATGCAGCTCCGAGAGCAAGGGGCCTGTCCAGGGCAGGCCCAGCCCTCCTGAGCTGCTCAACCAACCTACACACCCTGGGGGGCAGGGGCGGGCGTCCTGCTGGGTGAGGAGCTGGGCCTCCGGGAGCAGTCCTAAACCAGACGTCGACAAGAGCTTTTCTGACCTCCGTAATCGAGTCTCAGCAGCCCTCTCGGACGTCATACCACCGTCTCCGTGGTCCAGACAGGGACACAGATCGGAGACCAGCCCCAGGACGGCATCCAGCCCACGCCCGCCCTGCACCAGGCGGCCTCCACCACTCCAGCCTCTCCCCCGGCCTCCCCCTCGTGCAGGACTGAAGCCCAGGGCGGCCCCCGGAGGCAGGCGAGCCCAGCAGGCTCAGATGGATGTGGGTTCGAATCCTGCCATTGCTTCTCTGGGTGGCCCTGCACCAGTCCGTCCCCAGCCTGCCGCAGAGCTGGAATTCAAGGAGACAAAGGCACCGTGTGGGTCCTGGAGGGGGCGGGGCGGCAGGGTCTACAGTCAGGTTTAGGACCTGTCCCAGGGGCCACGACTGCGGCCACCTCAGCACCAACGTGGTGTGTGGGGAGCCCAGGCCCACCCACCCTGGGGCATCTGGAGACGGGGAAGGAAGGGAGACCAGAGCCACCCCCAGGCCAGGCCCCTCTCACTTGGAGATCAGGGCTGGGGACCCGCCTCTTCTCCTGGGAAGCCTCCTTGTCCTCTGCAGGGCCAGTCTGCGTGCAGGGCAGGTGGGGGCACGTGGCACACCAGGCTGGGCTGGGGTTCTAGTCCTGGCACCTGCTCCCTGGGTGCTCTGGCGGGGCACCTTCTCCCTGGGAGCCGAGCCAGCTGATCTCAAAGGGCCCTCCAGCTTCGCCATTCTGGCATGCAGCCCCCCTGCCCTTTATTTGTACAGTCACCTTTGATTACACATTGGAGAAACAGTGCAGGTGACAAGGACAATATTACTGTCATTGCTACAATTACCAACAGCCCACTACTGTAGGCAGACGGGTCATCAGGCTCGGCACTAAATGGTATTTAGTCCTCACAACTGTGCAGGTGCACGTGATACAGGTGCACATTCCTATGTCACAGACCAGGCTAGTGAGGCCCAGAGAGGGGCAGTCATTTGCCCAAAGTCACACAGCTGAGGATGGAGAATGGAAAAGCAGCTAAGATAGAACACGGGCTCTGACTCAGAGTCTGAGCTCTTAACTGCTGCGCTATGCACAAAAGATAAAACCACCGCCAAGCCCCAAATGTGGCCCATTTGGCCCTGGAACCTAGGTGCAGCCTTGGATCCCACACCCCAGCTGCCGGGACTTCACGCTGGGGGAAGGAGTGGGGCGGGGGGGCAGGATCCTCCATGCCGTCCAGCCCCGGGCAGAGCTGCCCCCCTCCCCGTCTCTAAGCGTCTCCCTGGGGCACTGGGATCCCCTCTCCAGGCAGCTGTCGCCGGCCCACAGCCCTTAGAGCAAGCTGCCCAGTCTGGTGGCCCCCCGGAGCTGGCGCCCGGCCTCGCCTGTCCCCACCAGTCGAGCAGAGCAACCGTGCGACGACCGCGCATCTGCCGGACATCGGCGCTGCCCCGATGAGCTTCGGCAAATACCTGAGCGGAGGGCCCGTGTAGGGGACACTCCCCTTTCCCAGGTGGCCCCCCGGCTTTCTTGACCCATATCCCGCCTTTAGGGCACGCCCCCGTCTCTGGGAGGGGAAGCTGACGCAGGTTAGACCCTGACTTGCCTCGAAACAGCCACCCCCCGCCCAGCCACGCCCACGTGGCTGCCACGTGCGCCCGGTTCGCTTGCTGCACTGCGCCTGCGCGTCTCGGGGACTCTTCAAGGTCCCTCGCCGTCCCCACCTGTCCCCCGCGCTGGCGTGGAAGGTGGGGTCTGGCCAGTGGGGTGGGTAAGGCTGGTGACAAAAGGTGTTCTAGTTAAATTACCACCATCACCAGCTCACCAGGGTGGCAGGGGCAGGGGAGGAGGCAGGGAGCCCGGCCTCAGCATCCCACTGACTCCATGTGTGACCCTGGGCGACTCATGTGGCCTCTCTGAGCTTCAGTTCCAGAGGTCAGAGGGAGCCGTGGCCCCCAGTGACGGGGAGGGTGCCAGTGAGGTGTGATGCACCAGCATGTGCCCTTTGGCAAGGGACCGCCCCCTCTGAGCCACCTATTTCTCAACTGTAGAGTGACGCTAATATTCAAAGCACGACCGTGTTGGGTTGAACATAGCAGAGGACTGGTCAAATGCCCCAGGCAGCACAGCGCCCCTTCCATAGAAGAGGCCCCAAAAGTTAGGTGTGTTATTTCTGTCGTGACCTAGTCCAGATGATTTTCATCTTGGAAAGTGGGTTTCCAGGTTAAAAGAGTTTGAGAAACACATGCATATCCTGCCCCCACCCCGTTCCACCTTGGAGACCCAGGAATCATATTAGCATATTAAAGGCTCTGACAAGTCCTGCAGGCAAGATACCCTTTCAACTTTAACCCAGCATTTCCCTAACTTTTAAAATCACCTTTGTTGTTGATATTAAGATCCCAAGGAACAAACCGGACTTCAGGAAACACTGAGTCCTACCTCTTGTTTGCAATTGGGGAAACTAAGTCCCCTCTCCTCTCTGGGCCTCAGTTTCCCTAACTGTAACACAAAGACTTCTAATGAGTTTGTAGCAGAGCAAGGACTGGAATCCAACGCTGACCCGGAGTCGTTGGGCCTCAACTCTGGAGCCACAACATCCTAACTGGTCTTTGTCCACCTTGTCAAACTAGGCCCAAAGGAGGGGGAAGACCCCCAGGGAGAGAGAGGAGGACTTCATTTGAGGAGTGGGGATGAGTACCCCTATTTTGAAAAGGAGAAAAGTGAGGTTCAGAGAGGGGAGGCAACTTGCATGAGGGCGCACAGCAACCAGGTCCTGGACCTTCCAGGGGTGGATCTAGGCTGCCTACTTTCCTTGTGGGTGAGTAGGCGGATTTCTGAGTCTTACAGCTTCAGCGCATACCTAATGGGGAACTCAGCTGGGCCTCTTCCCGACGGTGTCCCCTGAGTCCCCCGGTCTCCTCTAAGGAGGCGTCTGAGTGTGACTGCAGCGCCCCCTGGTGGCCAGTCTCCAGGATCCGCAGCGTCACCCCACACCAGCCAAAGGCGGGTTTCTGCACAACCTCTTGCGGTGGAGAAATGGGATGATGTGCGCGTGCCTTGGAAAGGCCAAAGGTGCTAAGTTAAAAAAGAAAGACAATCCTGCCGCCTCCCAGAAAGGTTCTCCTCCTAAGAGAGAGAGCGGAAATCCCGGCTCCACCGCTGTTCCGTCCAGGCTGTGTGTCCTGTGTTTGCATCATTGGGTCTCACTTTCTTCATCTGTAAGATGGGGATGAAAATTTGTTCTCGTATCTGCCTGATTTTGGCCGGAGTAACAGGAAATCTTGCCTCACTGGTTTAAATGAGAAAGAAAACTCATTCTCTCAAGCAATGATAAGAAGCCGTGAGGTAGGGCGGCCGCAGGGCTGGTTAATTTCTCAGCACGATAGTATCATCAAGGTCCTGTGTCCTTTTCATCTTTCTGCTCCCCCAAACCCCTGCATGGTCACAAAAAGGCTGTTGTAGTTCCAGGCATCGCATCCAGACCTGCCAGTGCCCGACAAAGCAGGAGTGTCTTCCTGTATTTCTCTTACTTTCCCAGAATCCCCCTCCTTCAGCAGACTTCCCCTCCTGTCTCATGGGGCAGAACTGGTTCCCACGGCTATTCCTCTACCAACACCTGGAAAGGGAAACAGAGTCGCAGTGGTTGGCCCACGACTGTAGAGCAGAGTGGAGAACTCAGAACAAAATGAGCTGCTGTGAGTAAGGAAGAGAGTTACTTCTGGAGAGGCTTCCACACCAGTGCGCAATGAACGCCAGCCACTGAGTGCGGTGGCCAGCATGTGGTGGGTGCCTTATCTGTGTTCCTCTGCTTCCTCCTTTTGGTGATTTCCTCCAAGAACACAGGACTCCCAGCTTCCCGCCCTCTATCCCTGGGGCTTGGGTCTCTCTCCAGTGCCCAGTGCCCCTGCCATCCTGTCCTCTGCTTCCATCATCACCACCTCCTTTTGTTTCTATCTCACACGCTCGGGATGAACAAAGATCTCCCCATTGTCCCCGATGACTTTGGATTCCTAAAAAATAAAAGCTAGGAGGTGCTTGATTCTCATGCAAATGCTTTCACCGGGGAGTCACAAGTTAATAACAGAGGCCTGGAGCATTCAACGGCCTGTCCAACCAACTGCAGTGATCAGAATACCCAGTTATTTGGGGGAGCTGGGACTGACTGCCGACCACGACATCATCACGTTCGGAAATGTCAGAAGTGTACGTTGGGGGGAGACGAACAGTGTGGTTGAAAATGGCTTTTGATTTTTAAAAAAATCCCCAGCATTCATCTGAAACAATAATAACAGCTAATAATAACAGGGCATGTAATAATGAACTATTCACAGGCATGAGAGATAATTGTTCAGTTAAGATCCCAGAGTTTATGAGACTGTCTTTTCTGATGGGGTCCCATTGTTTTTGACTCCAGTAGCTCTAATTATTTCCCAGTAGTGCTTTAAACTTGGGATGAAAAAAACCCTCCCGTCAAATATGACATACAAGTGGTTTATCATGATTAGATACACAGGCACGCACACAATGAGAAGTCCTTGTCGGAATAAACTTAGGGGTACGTTTACCGAGAGAGGGTTCTAAATGGGAGCTGACAGTCTCGGGGGCTCAGCAAAAGTGGCAGGTGACAGCCAGGTCTTCATCACACAAGTGACCTGGCCTCATCTCCCCCAGGGGTCAGGATGGGGCCTGAGGACAGAATGCCTGGGTTCAAATGCCACCTCTACCACTTATCGGCCAGGTGCCCTGGGCGAGTCCTCGCCTCCCTGAGCCTCAGTGTCCCCATCTGTAACATGGAGTGCAGTGGACATCCCACTGTTTTGGCCTGCCCAGGTTCTATTTACTCTTTCATCTAGCATCTGTATCACTAGCTATTGCCACAAAATTGATGGCCGTGCTTTAAAAATCACAAGCACTCAGTGGCATATAAAAACATTTGTCATGCATCGGTGAAGTTCCTCTGATCTCGGCTGGCCTTGCCTGGGATGACATCGCTCAGCTCCACATGTCTCTTATCCTCCTCCTCAGGGCTAGCCTGGGCACATCTGCTAACAGCCCATTGGTTAAAACAAGTCACATCGTCAGGCCAGGGGTGTGTGCGAAATTATACCTTGCCCACAGTGGGAGAACACCACAAAGTCACATTGCAAAGCCACGGATAAAGGGAAGAGTGGGGAATCGGGGCCACTGAGGCAGTCAAGCACAGGGATCAACACTCCAACTTTCCTAGGAACCTGCCCCTCCCCATGCTCAGTCCTGGTGGTCTGGGGGAAGCTAGCGGCCCCCATGGCTCTAGCTCTGGCCTCCAGAGGTTCTGAACCTCAGGCTTTTCTCACTCAAAGAGACACTTTAACAAGTGTGGGGAAGGTATTAAAAACACAGAGGCATCAGACTGAGCCCTAATCAGGAGAGACAGAGAACTAAAGGTGGAGTATGTTTTCCCATAAATGATTCTAATTCCAATGTGTCACCTGAGAATATTTAGGCATACCACCAGTGCCTGTCCCACACTTTGCAGGACATTGGGAAAGGTCATCTTTAAGGTCTTAACTGTAACAAACAGAAAATCTCAATGACTTGAAAATATTTTAAGTTCCCCCTAAACAGCTTTTGAGTTCTAGAGACTCAACACCCAAACCATCAAAGTTTTAGAAAATCGCTGTTGAAAAAGTTACCACATGTTTAGCCAAAAATGTTCTCAGAGGAAAATTCATAGCCTACAGTTATTTCTTCAAAAAATGAATGAATGAAGCATTCACCTCAATAAGTTATGGAGTCTCTTTGAGGTGAGAGGGAGTTCTGATTCGGTGGGCAGGCCCATCCCATAACCCCCCCCAGAGAAGTCACCTCTTCATAGCCCCAGAATGAGCCACTAAGCCATTATTTTATTTTATTTTATTTTTTTGAGGAAGATTAGCCCTGAGCTAACATCTGCCGCCAATCCTCCTCTTTTTGCTGAGGAAGACTGGCCCTGAATTAACATCCGTGCCCATCTTCCTCTACTTTATATGTGGGACGCCTGCCACAACAAGCGGTGCCATGTCCACATCCAGGATCCAAACCAGTGAACCCCAGGCCACCAAAGCGGAACGTGCGCACTTAACCGCTATGCCACCAGGCCAGCCCCACCACAGCCATTCTTGTTGACAATGTTGCCCACTCCCACTGGAAAGATGGGGCATCTGGGAAAAGGCCGGTAGCACATGCACTATCGAGTCCCCCAGCCTCCTTTCTCACAGAACCCAGACCTGGAGGGGAAACTGCCTTCCTCCATACTGCCCCATGCTTCTTTAGGACAACCGCTGCTTCCTGCATGCTGCCTGGCTAAAGCCTGGGACACATGACACAATTCTGGCCAATAATACGAGAGGGGAGGTCAGCTGGGGGACTTCAGGGAAAGGTCTCCTCCCGCATAAAAAGAGACACAACACAGGAAGAACCATCTCTCCTTCTTCCTCTGGATGCAGCGGGTTCTGGGTGTGATGCCTGGAACAGTGGTGCCATGTTGTGTCCTTGAGGAAAAAGCCAGCACACCCAGGTGGGCGACGCTGAGCACAGAGCCTGACAAATGTCGAAGGGATAAAGGAGTGGCAGATCCTTCAATGAGTCGCAGAGACTCTGTGTTAACCAGCCTTAGTGCCCTCCCCAACTTGACACTCCCTCCTATCTGAGACAATAAATATTCCTTTTTCTTTAAGCCAGTGTAAGTTTTCTGCTAGTTGCTGCCCAAAACACATAACTGTATGAACACCACAAACAATCCTCTTTTCTTTGAAAAGCCCAGGGAGTCACTTGATCGTTACCAAGGCTGGGCCCCATTTTACAGATGAGGACACTGAGGCTCGGAGTTTATGATCTATCCTGTTACCCAGAAGGCTTGGCTCAGCCAGCGAGGGCGTCTCACCCCCTGCCCACGGGATTGGCTCAGGAATGACATGTGACCCAAGTCCGTCCAATCAGAATGGCTCTTGGGACCCCACTGAGAATGCCGGATGAGGACGCGCTGTGTAGGTGTTGGATTGGAATGAAGACACGTGCAGCCATGGGAAAAGCGGGGCCACCGTGGACCACAAGGAGAGCACAGCAGCCTCCAGGAGGCAACGGAGAGAGGGGGGAATGGGACCTCGGGAAGGTCCCAGCCTCCCACCACCCTTGACGGTAATACCATTGGTCCTCCTTCCTTCTCAAAGAGCTGGATGGACTCACGCCCCTCAGGTCATTGATTCTTGTCCTTCTGACCGATGGGGACACGGAGGCCCAGAGAGGTAAAGCGACTCCACCAAAATTCCCAAAATAACCCACTGCCACAGTTTGGGCAGAGGGCACAGACCCCACACCCTGCGTGTGTGTCCCACTGCAGCTGCCCTTGGCCAGGTCCGCAGAGCCCCACGCCCTTCCCAAGTGAAGCTCCAGAGGGGACCTAAGACCCCAGCCCCAGCCAGGGCCAGGAAGCTGGGGAGGTCAGAGGGACCCTTCAGCTAGCTGCAGGTTCCTCAGCTCCAGGGCGGAGCAGCAAGATGGGGTGATTGCGGGGGGTCCCTCCTCATGCCAGGAGGCGTGGCGCTGCCCGGGGGCTTGATCGGCAGTTGGGGGTGACCCCGGGGTGAATGGCTGCCCTGGGAAGGGAATCGGGTTGGCCTTCAGCTCCAGCTCACCAATCACAGTCCCACCAGCACGTGGGCCCTACGGAGGGAAGCAGGAGGTCTCATCCCGTCCCAGGATCCATAGGCACTCTCACCATGCCAGTCGCCACCACCGTCCTTACGAGGGCCACTCTCGTCCTCACCATCAGTCCACTGCTGACGCTGGATGGCTCACCCGTCTCCAGAGCCCCTGCTCTGCCCCCATGCAGCAGCTGTCCTACCCCGCCAGCACATCGTTACCCCCTACCAGCATCACTATCCCCTGATGAGCATTACTCTCCCCCCAGCAGCATCACTGTCCCCCCACTCCCTTCATGTCTACCTTCCCCATCACCACTCCACTCTCACCCCTGCCTCTCAGGCCCCCACCAACACCACCACCCCCAGTCCAGCCCCCTGATCACCCCCAGGTCATTTCTACTGCCCTCGTGCCCCCAGCATGGGCATTCCTTAGCTCTCCCATCTCCCTGCTGTCGCCCCCGAGCCTGTTACCACTCCCCCCACCATCACCCCCACCATCTCCACCATCAATGAATGAACATTTATTGAGCACCGACAAGTCCCAGACCCTCTACAAAACACACAGAAGGCGTGGCCCCACCCCGAGGGCCTCGGCCCCCCAGCAGAGCCCCCATGGGCTACACATGGTGGTGTATGCAGCCTGGGCTAGGCTGGGGCTCGGGGCCTGGCCCTCAGTGCACCTGGAACCGGGTCCTGAGGCCTCAGCCAGGTTCCACTTGGGGGTGGGGTCACGTCGCTTTCCTGAGAGCAGAACAAATAAATAATGGAGACGCGGGTCTGAGCCCCCGTGGACGGAGAGGCCCCAGCGTTGGCTTATGTGACTCCATGGGAGTGAGACAGGCGGCCAGGAGCCCTGCGCCCGGTAGGAGGCAGAGCTGGGGGCAGGAGCCTGGGGACCAGAGGGTGCTGGGGCCTCCCCGGTGTCTCCGCCGGCCCTCACCTCTGGGGGTCAAAGGAGTGTGTGGGGGGACACCCCGGGAGGCGCCTCTGAAATGCAGGTGGACTAGAAATGGGCAGGCGGAGGGGACGGGCTTAGGCTGCAGGTTGGAGACCCCGCCCCTGCCCACGGCCCCTAGAGGGGGGCGTCATCAGTCCTCCACTTGGGGGGGTAACTCTGCTGGTGGCCATCACAGCTGGGGTTCCCCATGTTGTCCAGAGGCACCACCACCTCGTCCGGGTTCGAGTTCTTGTTCAGTTCCACCACACGTGGCACCACTGAGGACCAGCGATCTGCAGTGAGCACGAGGAGCAGGGATGAGGGTTGGCGGAGAAGGCACATGCATATATTGAGCGCCTACTGTGTACCAGGCACTCCACAGTGATCTAAAGGATTATGTATTATCATCCTCATTTTACAGAGGTGGAACTAGGGCTCAGAGAGGATAAGGTGTCTGTCCAGGAGCACACAGTAAATGGGAGAATCAGAATTCAAGCCCAGATCAGAATGCCTGAGCACCCACGTCCCCTCCACTGTGTCTCAGGCACTCAGTGGAATGGGTGTGAGGAGCCCCAGCATTTGCGAGCAGCAAGGGAAACTCAGCGGGCAGCCCATCCGACCCTCCCATTCCACAGACGCGAACACTGAGCCCCAGAAAGGGGACAGGACTGCTCAAAGCAAATGAGTGGTGAGGATGGACCAGGGGCCCCCTCCACGCCCCAGGCTCTTCCCCACCTCCACTCACCCCTGCGGAGGCGGCCCACGGTGTGCGAGAAGCCATAATACTGGTAGCTCTCGTTCTTGCCCGGGTCCTCGTTAATGATGCCCAAGTTCTGGTTCCAGTGGGACCAGTTCACCTCGTCCACCCTGGCGGGGCCACAGCACAGAGAGGGTCAGGGGGAGCCCCCACCGAGGCAGCACCCGTCCCCGCCCCCCGGCACCCTCCCTGCTCCCTCCCCCAGCACATCCTCCTTTTTGTTTTTAATCGTGGTAAAATAATATAAAATTTGCCATTTTAACTATTTTTAAATATGCAATTCAGTGGCATTACCTATATTCCTAAGCTCATGCAACCATCACCACTATCTAGTTCCAAAACTTTTTCATCGCCCCAAACAGAAACTCTGCACCCACCAAGCAATAACTCCCCATTCTCCCTCCCGCCAGCCCCGGGTAAGCTCTGTTCTACTTTCTATCTCTGTGAATCTACCATTTCCGGACATTTCATGTAAACGGGATCATGCAGCACGTGGCCCTTTGTGTCCGGCTGCTTTCACTCAGCACAGTCTTGTCAAGGTTCATCCACGTTGTAGCACGTGTCCATGCTTTGTTCCTGTTTATGGCTGAGTAATATTCCATTGTACGGATGGACCACATTTTGCTTGTTCAGTCCTCTGCAGTGGACACCCTCTGTCTCGATCCTCTCTCTTCTTATTATTGGGACACCGTTGTAAAGTCAAGTTACAGCCTCTTGGGCACAAATTGGCTCAATATAATTTTTCCTTTTTAAAATTATGTTTTTGTTATTTTCATTCAACCTCCATATTTTGAGCAATTGTACATGTCAGGACCCAGCAAGGAAGACACATTCAATGTTCCCACTCCACAGATGAGGAACCCGAGGCTTGTTAACCTGCTTGTCCAAGGTCCCCAAGCCGATAAATTACAGAGTCAGGATCTGAACTCTGGATTCGAACTGAACAGGATAGAGCCGCTGGCCTATGGGGTGGCTGCTGTTAAGGTCCACACTTCACAGATGGGGAACTGACTCGGCCGGACTCCAGACGTCACGCTTGTGCTCTCTGCTGGCAATCACTTTACAAAGAATGCACCACCTTAAAAGATTCCTCGTGCATCTGGGAATGTCTCCACCCTGGAAGCTGCTGTTTCCTCAGTTTCCCCTTCCAGCCGAAGCTCACCCCGCTGTTCCATCAATAGAGGTGATGCTCTCAGATGGGCACCCCCTCCACCCCCAGCAAGGGACAGAAGAGCAGTCACACCAGCTGCTGTGCGGGTGCCCCAGTGTGCGTTGGGCGCCCACCAGGCACATCATACATGCTAACCCACACAGCTGGCCTGGGGAGGTGGGGGGGGGGGTGCTATCACTGACCCATTTCACAGATGAAGAAACCGGGGCTGAGAGTAAACGAACTTGCTCAAGATCACCCAGTGGAACCGAACTCTGGTCGGATCCCTGGGGGCCTCGGTGGCTCGGGAAGTTGCAATAGGCAGAAAACGCAAGGTGGCCTGAGCCACCAGGACGGGTCCACCGCCTCACCTGAAGCACCACCTGCGGTCCGGAGTGCCGTCCGAGCTCTTCCCCACGGTCACCATCTCGCCGGAGCGGAAGGCCTTCCTCAGGAACACGGGGAAGGAGCGCTCGATGTCCAGGATGGTGGTGGCCCACTGTGGGAAGGGGGAGTGGGGCAGGCCATTGGTGAGACAGAAACAACGGGACGGGCCGGGGCAGGCAGAGAACCAGGCTTTCCAGCTCCCACTGCCCCTAGAAACGGGTTAGAAACCCAAACACCCACAGAGGCCTGGCAGGAGAACAAAGGAGCGAAGCAGACCAGATGGAGGAATGCCACAGCCCGAGCCCCATGACACACGCACAGCAGTCACCATTCAGTGTTGGGAATCACCAGGGAGGGGTGGGGACTAGGGCAAACCAGGGGGCCCATGCGCTCTCTTCCACCCGCGCTGCCAGGCAGGAATGCAGGCCTGCCTTGCCTGGCTTCTAAGTTTTCAAGAAAGGCCAGAAATCTGGCATTTTATAAGAAATCTCTTAATTATAAAATTTTGCATTAAATTTTTTAAAAATATCGTAATGCAGAAAAAATAAATCTTTGCTGGTCAAATCCAGTCCACGGGCTGCCAGTTTGCATCTTATGAGTTACACTCAGTGGGGAAACTGAGGCTCGGGGAAGTAAGCAGTGTGGGTCAAGGTGAAGAGCAGGTCCAGATGTTTCGCTGAGCCCCACACCTGGCAGGATGATCCTGGGTTTTTTTCTCACTGCACCATTTCCTTGAAGGGTAGGTGCTCATTTCTGGACCTTGTGATGGCACCACTGACTGTGAACCATGAGGTTCGTGAACGGCACGTGGCCCAGGTGGGTGGGGACCCCCAGGGCCTCTGCTTCTTAGGATTGCATAGGAACCTTCAGGAAGCAAGGGCAGCAGCTCCCCTGGGCCAACGAGGCCCACGTCCACGTCGGCTTCTCCTCTGTGACGGAGCACACTCAGGAAGCTATGCCTGGGCTGGTGGAAGCCCCTCTGATGAGAATATGGGGCCGCCTATACCCACGCCAGCCTCGTCTCTTGGGCCGCGGTGGGGCACAGAAGCTGTCCCCGGCTCAGCGAGGGAGCCCTGCTGCAATGCTGATGCTCTCTGAGCACCTCCTGCACCAACAGAGCTCCCTCAGGGGTGCTGGGGAAGCCGACTGTGTCCTGCGAGCTGGACCACAAGGTGAACCTAGACCACTGCTGATGGCCAGGCAAAAAGCCACCTGGACATGCACCAGGCAGCTCTGGGAAGCGGGCAGCAGCCTTCAATGCCCATTTTACAGACAGGGAAGTGGAGGCAAAATGAGATGACGCGGCTGGCCCAGAGCAGAGGCTGAGGGGGTGTGGTGGGTCAGGTCTCCCCATCTTGGAAGGAGAAGGGCGGCTGGCGGGGTGGCGATGGGAGTCCCAGGGCCTCACCTGCAGCTTCCAGATGTGCTTGCTCTCCTTGGAGACCTGGCCCACCGTCTCCCCCATGAGGGCGATGAGCATGTTGAGGAGAAGCACGAAGGTGAGGATGATGTAGGTGACAAGCAGGATGATGAAGACCACGGGGTACTTGGTGCTGCTCAGCATCTCCAGGTCGCCCATGCCGATGGTCAGCTTGAAGAGGTCCAGGAGGAAGGTGCTGAAGGTCTCGCTGTCGCGGCACGAGGGGTAGGTGGGCACCGTGCAGTTGGTGTGGTCCTCGTTGCACACCTTCATGTTGGCGCACGGGTTCAGGAGGGAGACCAGGGCTGCGGGAGGTGACAGTGGCCGAGCGTGAGGATGCAGGCTGAGAGGTGGGAGCATCAATCCCATTTGATGGAGGGCAAAGCTGAGGCTTGGCGAGGAGAGAGCAGCAGCCCACGGTTACCCAGCCCGTCAGCCAAGCCCAAGGTCGAACCCGGGTCCTCCGGGATCCAAAGCCTTTGCTCTTCCCACAAACTCTTGCTAACAGGGAAGAGCTTCCCAGGGTCTGGTCCAGTGGTCCTCGACCTGGGCCAGTTCTTCCCCCAGGGGACATCTGGCAATGTCTAGAGACATTTTCGGTTGTCACAATTGGCGGGGCTGTGCCGCTGCTGACACCCCGTGGGTGGAGGCCAGGGATGCTGCTCAGCATCCCACTGTGCACAGGGCAGCCTCCACCACAAAGAATGACCCGGCCCCAAACAGCAACTGTGCCAAAGCCGAGAATCCCTAATCCAGCCCGTCATCCTTAGAGGTCTTGGGAGCCTGGAACGCGAGCATTCCGGGGGCAGATTCTCTCTCATGCTCCTGTTTCCTGGCCCACACCAGCTCCGAGAGGAAGAGTGGAAGCCGAAACGAGGTACCAGTCCTGATCGTCCCAGAAGCCGTGCTGGCTACGGCCCTGCCCCCTCCAGACATCACAAACTGATCACTGTGCTCATCCCCTCCCACGAAGCCCAGGCGAAGCCTCAGAGGCCTTCTCAACACGGTTCAGCAGCAACAACCTGCCTCTAAACCAGCCTGGGCAGGGAGCATGAGGAGGCTGAGCCCCTTCTGTCAGTGGGGCACAGACTGTCACAGTGCCTTCAAGCCGGAAATACAGTAAGTAGGTTTCAAGTCATAGGAGAACGCTATTCTATCATGTAGTAGCTGCTGAAACACGTGCTGCGAAGGATTCTGAGACCTTGTCTGGGCTCATCAGAAAAATCGTTCTGTGATCCATTAGCAATGTCTGCTATGCGCACAAAAGTGGGGAACATGGGCATGCGTGTCATGTTTATGTCATATCAGCCTCAGACTGGAGATTTAGTGGCCCCCAGCAGGAGAAGCCCTGGGACCAAGCCAACCGCTAAGTTGCTACTTTAACCCCTAAGCTTCTGCCTTTTTCTAAAATTAGGACTGCAGGAGGGCTGGACTCCTAAAGCCATTATGGAACGCTTGACACTGTCTAGTTCTTTCCAGTCCTCTCCATGGAGGGGACAGACGTACCCTGTCCCTGTCTCCCCAGCCATGGCTACAGTTCTGCTTCCCCACAATAACTCATGCAGGGCCTCAGCACCATCTGGGTTAAAATAGCACCATCATCAGATTTCTGCTTCAGTGCTGGTCCCCAGACCAACCTCTCAGATGCGAATGTGGCCTGGGGAAGCCTGAGTTGGCCACTCCCTTTTGGATGTTGGGCATTGGATGGCAGATCACCCATCCATTGAGAACCAGCCCAATGGCTTGGTGAGCGTCCTCATCCCTGGTCCTTCCCCCATGGCCTGTGCCACTGAGGTCCCATAGCCTCATGACATCATGGAGAAGGCATACACTGGAGGGGGCCAGGACTGAGCTTTACAAAAGACCTGGGCTGGTAGATTTTAATTCTTTATTAAAATTCACCGTTCCCTGCATCCACGCCCCTTCAGTGTGGCCTTGCAGCATCCTCCATCAAGAGGGAGCATCTGTTTCCCCACTCTTTGAACAAGGGTGGCCCTGAGACTGGCTTTTGCCCATAGAGTATGGCAGAAGTGATGCTGTGCCAGGCCATGACCTTGAACACTTCCACTCACATTCTAGGAACCCGCAGACCGTCATGTGAACAAGCCCAAGCCTGCCGACTGGAGGATGAGTGACCATGGGGAAGAGAGCAAAGTCACCCACTGACGCCACCTAAGCTGGACGAGTCAGCCGGCAGCCAACCGGCCAGCTGCCCACAGACACAGGGGCCCTTCAGGATTAGCAAATCTGGCCCAGGTCAGCACAACCCCCCGGATGACCCATAGACCTGGGAGCAATAATAAACGGCAGTGATTTTAAACCACTAATTTTGGGTGGCTTCTTTTGCAACAATGTCTAACACAGTTTTACCCTTTCCTAGCATTTGAACTTGGGCAAGTTATTTAACCTTTCTAAGCCTCAGTTTCCTTATCTGTAACAGGGCATCATAAAGGCTCTCACCTTACCGACTTGTTGGCAGGATTAAATCAGGCGGGGATGGGAAAGGACAGCCCAGTGCCTCGTTCTCAGCGACAACTCAGCAAACACCTTTTCCTCCACCCATCACGGCCGCCGGTCCAGCCCTTGCACCACCCCGCCAGCCCCCCGGGCGCCCCGGGCTCACCTGAGGCGTAGCCAATCATGAAGAGCAAGTAGACCAGCAGGAAGCGGAAAAGATCTTTGAAGAGGATCTGTAGACCCCAGCGGGATTGTGGAGGCAGAGTTAAGACACATGGTTTCCCGCTTCCCAACTCCTCCACCCCAGATCTTTCCAGCTGCACCCTTGCCCCTCCCCGAGGTCCAGGCCCTGCTGCGGCCCCCACGGCGCCCCACATCCTCAGGTCCGAGGGCACCGTCTGCACACGTAAGATGTGCGTGGGGGGGGTGTGGCTCCCTCCAGGAACACAATCCGGAGGGTCCCCCGGCCCATACCTTCTGGATCATGATGCTATAGGTCCCCGTCAGCTTCAGCCCGCGGGTGAAGTAAAGGGCGTTCATCCAGCCCAGGACCAAGGCAAAGACCATGACGGCCAGGTAGGCCTCAATCCCCGCCAGGTAGAGGGCTGCCGAGACAATCACCAGCACGGAGTAGATGAAGCTAAGGGCAGCAGAGACCACGAGAGGGGGCAGAGGGGACAATGAGGCCCTGGAGGCGGAGACATGCTCCCAAGCCCTCCAGGGTACCAGGACACCCGAATGCCTTCTAGACCCCCAGAAGGGGACAAAGTGGATTCACTGGGTTCCCCAGCATTCTGTTAACCAAAATGCTCAATTAATTGGCAATTACTGTGTGTGTAATGGCCTTGAGGCCCTACAAGATCCCAAAGAGATGCCCTTTGGAATTGCTAAAGAAAGATGCAGTGGTGTTTGGTGGAGATTTTGTGGCTTGGTGAATTTCATTGTTCTCTACCTCTAAGGGAAAGGGAAAAGATGTAGCACATGTACATCAACTCATCCTATGCCCCAGGCAGACATCATTAATCGAGCACAGCACTCTTTCCCACTAAACACAGCCACAGCCTCAAGATTCTTCTCAACATGGCACTCCAGGCATACATTAGCAGTCGATCACCAGCATAAGTGGTTAAATTATTTCTATCCATGGTGCATATGGTAACTTTCTAGCAACCAGAATCTTGCTTTAGCCTGAAGACCCTATTGCTTGACATTGGCCTTGTCCCGACTTTGGGCTACAGCTGTTTGGGCTGGTTGAGTTCACGCCTCATAGAGTAACCCCCCCACCCCAATCTGAATGATGTCCCAGCCCAACCCAGAAGCCGCCAGCCCAGGCACCTGTACTCACTAGAGTAGCTGGAAGGAGCCATCGATGAAGAGAGAATTCACCCCAGGGCATTTCTTCATGAACAAGTCTTTGATCTGTAAGAGGGGAGGAGGCACGTGGGGTGGAGCCGTCAGGAGTGCAGAGGGGAGGTAGAAGGGGGAACTGAGAGGAGAAGGAAGAGAGGAGGAGAGGGGAGCCAAAAGAGGTGGAGGAAGAGGAGAGGAGGAGGAGGACGGGCAGGCTGGTGGGGTTGGGGGCCAAGCACTCACGTTGGTGAAGAAGAACAGGACCCCGGTGAACAGCGTGATGATCTCGCCGGCCAGCCTCAGGTAGTCCACCGTGGTGCGGTAAGGGTATGGCGGCTGGGGGACAGGGGCACACAGGTCCTCACCAGCCCCTCCAACATCTGGCCCCAGATCCATATGTTCCCCCATGCCCCAAACATCTGGATCCTGTGGGGCCTCCTCCCTCCCCCTCCTCCGCCAGGCGTTGGGGAGCACCTCCCCATCCTGTTCCTGTCTTCTGCAGCCCCTCCCTCTCCGGGCCCAGGAGGACCGGCTGTGCCCCAGTGCCTGCCCGGCTCACGGTCACTCACAGTGCCCTCCAGCGGCTGGTAGTAGGCGGTGAGGGTGAAGATGACCATGGCGCACAGATAGGAGACCACATTGATGTAGAAGGAGACAGCCCCGAACTTGCGCCACTTGTCCCTCAGCAGTTCGTTGATGGGCTCCACAGCCAGCATCTCGTGGCGGTTCTGTAGGGGGTCACGGGCCGCCTTCTCAACATGGGGGATCCGGACGGGCTGACTCCAGCACCCCTTCCCCCACTTCCTCCTCCGAACCCATTCTTGAGCGCACGCACTCAAGGACTCGCAGGGGACTGGATAGGGATTCAGAATCAGCCCCAATCTCCCGGGCTCAGCATTTGAGGCTCTGCTCAATTCTGCCTCAACTTACCCTTCAGCCTGTTCTAGACTCGTGGAACCCAGAGCCGGAAAGCTCCTTAAAGAACGTCTATTCTCGTGGTTCCCAAACTCCAATCTGTGGATGGTACTGAGTTGCTGGCAGCATAATCACCTAAGTACCTTGCTAAAAATATAAACCCCTGGGCTCCAACCTCAGAAATTCTGATTCTGGAAGTGGGAGTGGGAAACTCAGCCCAAGGATGATAAACACTTGACTCAGCACAATGTTCCAATTCTGAACCCAGGGCAGACATCAATAATGGAGTCCTGCACAGTAGTTCTCTATTCAATTCCCCAGGCAGACTCTACCAATCAATCAGTTTGCACGAGACATACTAAACCTCCAGCCACCCCTAATCTAAATCAAATCGGTCCCTAATTTCAAAGATGAAGGAAGTGAGCTTCAGCAAGGGAAGGCATCTGTCCAGGCTAACAGAGCAGGGCTGGAAGGGAGACCTTCTGTACCCAGGCCCCAGCATTTTCTGCCCCATTTGTATAGCATGCTGTCCCTTTAATGACTTGAGTTTTCTTTATAATCCCAGATCTGTGCAACGATGTAGCCAGAAAGATGCGACTGCAGTGTTACTCTGACAGCTAAATGCAGAAACAAACCCAAATGACCAAGAAGAGAGGAATGGTTAATTAGAATGTGGTACATTTACACGCAGCCATGATATTCCAGGAGAACATTTAATGGTGCAAAACGATGTTCGCAAAAACTACTAAGTGAAAAAAAGAGCTTTCAAAACTTCATGTAACGACTACTAATGATAATAGCTGACACATAACCTTTACTCTGTGCCAGGCTGTTCTAAAACGAACTCATTTGCTCCTCCCAACGACCCGATGGGATAGGCTCTATCCTTATCCTCATGTTACAAAAGAGAGAGCCAAGACTCAGAGAGGTTGGAGCACTTGTCCTGAGTCACACAGCAGGCACGTTACAGAGCCAGGATCCTGACCCAGTCCTCTTGTCTCTGAAGCCTGACCCTTACAATCCTCCCATTTCCCCCAGTGCCAGACGCCTAGGCCCCTCCCCGGCTGTCAGCCGCACCCCTCTTTCCCCGGGCCCCGCCCCCTGCCCTGGCGCCCACCTCGATCTTGCTGTTGTACACCAGGATCTCCAGCACGGAGGCCTCCTCCCCGCACGTGTCCAGGGAGGAGAGGTCGTAGAGTGAGGAGTACACCGGCCCGTAGGCCCAGTCCTTGAACTTGCGAGACAGGTGCCTCGTGTCCTCGTCCGTCACCTCCCGGCGGATGATGTGCTGGAAGACCTGCGTGGGAGGGAGGGGGGTCAGGGCTCCCGGAGAGGACCCCGCTGCTCGCTCTCATCGGAGGGGCCCCGGGGGCGCTGCAGCCCAGCACGTGGAGGGAGGGAGGGGGTCAGGGCTCCCGGAGAGGACCCCGCTGCTCGCTCTCATCGGAGGGGCCCCGGGGGCGCTGCAGCCCAGCACGTGGGAGGGAGGGGGGTCAGGGCTCCCGGAGAGGACCCCGCTGCTCGCTCTCATCGGAGGGGCCCCGGGGGCGCTGCAGCCCAGCACGTGGGAGGGAGGGGGGTCAGGGCTCCCGGAGAGGACCCCGCTGCTCGCTCTCATCGGAGGGGCCCCGGGGGCGCTGCAGCCCAGCACGTGGGAGGGAGGGGGGTCAGGGCTCCCGGAGAGGACCCCGCTGCTCGCTCTCATCGGAGGGGCCCCGGGGGCGCTGCAGCCCAGCACGTGGGAGGGAGGGGGGTCAGGGCTCCCGGAGAGGACCCCGCTGCTCGCTCTCATCGGAGGGGCCCCGGGGGCGCTGCAGCCCAGCACGTGGGAGGGAGGGGGGTCAGGGCTCCCGGAGAGGACCCCGCTGCTCGCTCTCATCGGAGGGGCCCCGGGGGCGCTGCAGCCCAGCACGTGGGAGGGAGGGGGGTCAGGGCTCCCGGAGAGGACCCCGCTGCTCGCTCTCATCGGAGGGGCCCCGGGGGCGCTGCAGCCCAGCACGTGGGAGGGAGGGGGGTCAGGGCTCCCGGAGAGGACCCCGCTGCTCGCTCTCATCGGAGGGGCCCCGGGGGCTGCAGCCCAGCACGTGGTGCCTCCCGGGAGAGCGGGATGGAGGGGAGGGAGGGGGGTCAGGGCTCCCGGAGAGGACCCCGCTGCTCGTCGCTCTCATCGGAGGGGCCCCGGGGGCGCTGCAGCCCAGCACGTGGGAGGGAGGGGGGTCAGGGCTCCCGGAGAGGACCCCGCTGCTCGGTCGCTCTCATCGGAGGGGCCCCGGGGGCGCTGCAGCCCAGCACGTGGTGCCTCCCGGGAGAGCGGGATGGAGGGGAGGGAGGGGGGTGCCGGGCCCTTTCTTGTGGCATTGTCATTCCTGCCATCCTGGTTTACAGATGAGCAACGCAGGCTCAAGAAGGGTGTCCCCTGAGGCCACACGGGCGGTCAGCTGAAGCCAGGCTGAACCCAGGCCAGCCCTGAAAGTCTGAATTGGAATGAATATCTTCTTTATGTAATTAAAACAGCAACTAGACAACCTCATGAATATGTTAATTCTAGTAATAATTATCATATTGGGCCCTTCCCATACCACTGCGACTATCTTTCGCTTAGACATAGGGAAACTGAGGAACAGAGAGGGGGTGGGGATTGCCCAAGGCCACACAGTTTCGAAGAGCAAAGCCAGAATTTAAAGCCAGGCCTTTCCCACGGCTCCAGGACTCAGGTATCAATTACAATTTCAGTAACTTCGCTATATTTTCAAAGCGCAATAATAACCCCCACTCTCTACTCATCCTGGGCTCTTTATTAAGAGCTTGAAGTGGAGCATCTTGTTTAGTTGTCAGAACCACACGATCCCACAGGGCACTATTATTATCCCATTTTGCAGACGGGGAAACTGAAGCACAGAGAGGCAGGTGAGATGCCTGAGGTCACACGCTGGGAAGCGGTAGAGCCAGGCGGTGGGCCCAGGTGGGGCTGACTCCGGAGCACTCCAGGTTGGGTTCTCAGCCAGGGCAATGGTGCCCCCAGGGACAATCTGGCCATGCCTGGAGACATTTTTAGTTGTCACAAGTGGTGGGGGGTCCTCCTGGCATCTAGCCGGTTGAGGCCAGGATGCCACTAAACATCCTACAATGCACAGGACACCCCCCATCCTAGAACCATCCAGCCCCAAACGTCAGTAGTCTCCAGGCTGAGAAATCCTGCCATAGACCCTGTGCTGTGAGGTCCAGAGAGGGGAAGGAACTGGGCAGGGCCACTCAGCAGGTTAGGGCTGAGTCATGACACCAACAGTGGAGTGTACGGGAGTACAGCAGGGCTGCAGCCTTGGGACTCAGTTTTACATCAGCGGCTTGTCCTAGCTGGTGGGAGTCGGGCGTGAGCATCCATGCGGTGGGATGAGGACAGAGGCTCTGGGATGAAGTTGAGTAGCGTGGCTGAACAGTAGGGAGCCAGAGCAGACTCTTGAGCTGGGACAGCTGCACACTGGGGTTGGCGTGATGGGAGGGGGTGTGCAAATTAATAATAATGAATACCAGCAGCAGCCCCTCCTGTGTGTGTGTATGTGTGTATTTGTCTATGTGTGTATGTGCAGTGGGGTGGGGCAGCCGTGCCCCCCGGCCCCACACTCACCCCAATCTTGCCCGTCTTGGCGGCCATCATGAGGGGCGAGAGACCGTCGTTGTTGAGCACGGCCTCCAGGTTGCTGTCGGGGAAGAGGCGGGCGCACTTGAGCAGCAGGAGGTCGTACATCTTGGTGACGAACTTGGTGTTCTCGCGGGTGTTGTCGGCGATGGCCACCAGCGCGTGCAGCACCGTGTTGCCGCGCGAGTCCTGCCGCCGCATGTCTGCCTTCTTGTGGGGGTTCTCCGTCAGGTAGTTGACGATGTGGGGCTGGTTGGTGCAGGCAGCCAGCGACAGGGGCAGCTCACCTGGAGGCGGCGTGGGTTGGGGAGCTCAGTGCGGGGGGGGGCCAGGGCGGGGCTCGGTCTGCGGATGCTCGGGGCACAGCCACCAGGACACTGGACGCGGCGCCAATGGTCACATGTACGTATCCCCTGGTGATGACACGTTTCTGTGGGTGATGCTGGGGGGACGGTGTGGCTCTTTGGGGGCATGGCCACGCAATCTGGAGGCCTTTAAGGACTCTTTAAGGACTTTGTCCCTGAACCCCACAGAACGTGTGCCTTTATTAAGCAGGGGTGAAATTCAAAATCTTTCACTGGTCCAAGTGGGACATGGTGGTGGCCCTTTAGTCCCAGCAATCCGACCGTTGGTCCCAGCTTAAGTTGGATTAAAGGGTGCATTTGATAAGATGTGGGGCTGACACCCCATCACGACCCTAGGGGTTCTCATGATGCCCATTGTACAGATGGGGAAGCTGAGGCTCAGGGAAGCGAGCTCATGCTCTGTTCCTCAAAGGCGAGACCTCAGGGACAGAGACCAGCACACGGTCTGTGTACGGGGCGCCATCTGGGTCCGTGGCCAGGGCGGCCCTGGGCGTCTGGGGAGGGGTCAGGGCTGCGGACATCACCGTGCAGCCCCCAGCCCCCAGCTTCTCCTCTAGGTGCCCCCAAGCCCCACCAGGCCCCTCCTCACCAAAGTAGAAGTAGCCCCCTTCATCCTTGGGCTGGAAGAAGCGACCCCGGGCCTGGGCGTGGACATCAGCTCCCTGGGCCACCAGGAGCTCCACGTAGTGCTTGCAGCGGCGCTCGATGGCGATGTGCAGGGCAGTCTGACCTGGGGAGGGGGTGGGGGACAGTTACGGGGGCTCCGTCAGGGCAGAGACCCGCCCGGCTTGAGGGGGGTGGGTGCAGAGTGTGGAAACCGAGTGGAGGCTGCAGCGGAGGCCAGAGCCCCAGCCGGCCCCAGCCGAGGGCAGCCAACGGACCCGCAGACGCTCCCCGGATGGAGGGTCGATGCATCAAGTCCTGGATCTGCTGCCTCGGGGAAGCAGAATTTTAAGCTCAAAGGACATTCAACTTGTACGATCCCAAATCTGGGAACTTTTTAGCCTCACAAGAGTCTAACTGTAGAGGAAAAAGCAGCATGGGGGTCTCACAGAATTTTGGACTCAGGATATAAAGTCCACAGGCTGAATCTTCATATCCCGGAATCCAAAAGGTCAAGCCTGATTCACAGACCTCAGAATTTAGAACCGGGGACCCGGGACTCGTGACACCTCTGCCTCTTAGAGCTGTTGGCTCAGAGAACTGTTATCCTACACCCTGGGGGCCTCCGGGCCCACAGCATCTTAGGTTCAGAATTCCAGGTTCACGGGTCATTAGCCTCAGTGCATCTGAGGATCTTGGAACCTTTGATTCTGAAACGGAACATCCAAGTTGAAAGGGGTAGTTATTGCTCCTCCATTCATTCATTCATTCATTCACTCAACAATCAGTTCCTGGGTACAAGCTGGCGCCTAGGGCCCAGACTCAAGCTCTTGGGGCTCAGACAGAGGATGGTGCCCGCCGCCCCCGCGTCACCTGCCGGGCCCACCTCGGTAGTAGATGTCGCGGAAGGGCGAGTTGATGAACTCGCGCATGTTGCCGGTGCGCTCGGCGATGTCCAGCAGCACGGGGATGGTGTTGTTGTGGCCGTGGCTCAGGTTCAGCAGGGCCTTGGGCAGGCAGGTCTTCCCCGTGGACGGCTCTGCGGGGAGAGACGTGCAGGCTGAGGGCTGCTCAGGGGTGGCCCGGCAGGGGACAGGGGCCTGGGCGGGGAGCCAGAGGTCCTGGCCGTGTCACACCTCCTCTCTGAGCCTCTTCCCTGTCTGCCTCCGTGGTACCGAGAGGGTCAAATGAACTCAGGCGGGCAGTAGTTCTTAAAAATGTGGGACGCCGCACATCCCACTCCTGCATCTCCCACTCCATCCCACTCCTGCATCTCCCACATCTCACAGAGAGATCAGGATTTACCAAAACATATCTAAAGGGAATTTAAAAAATCAAACATGGGTTAACAAAGCCAACCATGTCGTCTGCAGGACTTCTCAGAGCCTTTAATATGCTAACGGAGACTATGAACCTCTGAAAGCCAGACACAGCACGCGCAGCCTAGGCCCACCTGTTGGAACATAGATCTTTTTTCCCATGAAGCATTGAAACTAGTGTGCCAGAAGGAAGCAGAGGGGGTACAGTGTTCCCCAAGGTGTGGACTGCCTGCCAGGGGGGACGTGAATTACCGTAGGAGGGACGGGAGAGGATGTCGGGGACTCCCCCGACGCAGCAATGGCAACACTGAAGGCCCGCTCAGGGCAAGGTTTTATCCCATCGCCAAATCTCTCTCAAGAAGTCCGGCTCCAATTGGTCCTAACAGACCCTCAGCACCGCCCACTGATGCTTGCTAATGTCGTTTTGCAATTTCCTTTCGCTTGCAGTAATGTTTATGGTTACAGGAGGTGATTTATATCTTAAAGAGCAAGTCAATGAAAAGAGAACTCCCCTGTGAATTAGGGACAGGCCAAAATGGTGCTGGGGAACCGGGAATGGCCCGATGCAAGGACAGGATCGGGAATGGCCCTGATTAGGATGGGGTGGGAGATGCAGGAGTGGGACGGGGAGATGCAGGAGCGGGACGGGGAGATGCAGGAGCGAGACGGGGAGATGCAGGAGCGGGACGGGGAGATGCAGGAGCGGGACGGGGAGATGCAGGAGCGGGACGGGGAGATGCAGGAGCGGGACGGGGAGATGCAGGAGTGGGTCGGGGTGGGAGATGCAGGAGTGGGACAGGGAGATGCAGGAGTGGGTCGGGGTGGGAGATGCAGGAGTGGGACGGGAGATGCAGGAGCGGGATGGGGAGATGCAGGAGCGGGACGGGGAGATGCAGGAGGAGACGGGGAGATGCAGGAGGGGCGGGGAGAGGCAGGAGGGGACGGGAGATGCAGGAGGGGTCGGGGTGGAGATGCAGGAGTGGGACGGGGAGATGCAGGAGTGGGTCGGGGTGGGAGATGCAGGAGTGGGACGGGGAGATGCAGGAGTGGGTGGGAGATGCAGGAGTGGACGGGAGATGCAGGAGGGGATGGGGAGATGCAGGAGGGGCGGGGAGATGCAGGAGTGAGATGCAGGAGTGGACGGGGAGATGCAGGGGGGGTCGGGGTGGGAGATGCAGGAGTGGGACGGGGAGATGCAGGAGTGGGTCGGGGTGGGAGATGCAGGAGTGGGACGGGGAGATGCAGGAGTGGGTCGGGTGGGAGATGCAGGAGTGGGAGGGGAGATGCAGGAGAGGGTCGGGGTGGGAGATGCAGGAGTGGGACGGGGAGATGCAGGAGTGGGTCGGGGTGGGAGATGCAGGAGTGGGATGGGGCGGGAGATGCAGGAGTGGGACGGGGAGATGCAGGAGTGGGTCGGGGTGGGAGATGCAGGGGTGGGTCGGGGTGGGAGATGCGGGAGTGGGCTGTAGTGCCCGCTCTAGAGCCAGGCACCTTGGGGCTCAATCCTGTCTTTGCCTCTGATTTCTGTGCGATCTTTACTCTGCTACAGTTTCCTTTCTAGCAAATTGAGCCCAAAAAAGGAAATCAATGAGCCAACAGATGTTTCTCTGAGTCCAGTGACAGGCAGACAGGAGCCGGCGGACAGGATCGCTCAGACTGCTGCCATTGTAATTCCAGGGGGCTGCTTGACATCCTCTCTCTGGACGCCAGGAATCAGTGGAGAGTGATTGAAAGATTCGCGGAGACCTGAACCCCAGGCCCAGAGCCCTGGCGTGAGGCTACGTGGACCAGCTTTGTCCCAGGCTGCCTCCCGCAGGGCCCCTGGCACCCAGCCCTGAGTTGACACCAGGTAACTGCTTCTTGAATGAATAATGGACTCCAGTCCCCCATCTGCTAATGGGCAGGGAGCTGCCCCAGTGCTGGCCAAGGCCCTGGGGGATTCTGTCCACACTCAGCTCTCCCAGATGGCATATGTCCCCCTCTCAGAGAAGGGTGTCCCAGCCAGCTAAAAACCTTTGTGTCACCTTTGTGCTTGTCCTCCTTTCTCCCCTACATCCACCCTCCAGCACGTACTATCGATTTTACCTCCTGTTTCTCCAATCCCTCCACCACTCTCCATCTCTGCTGTCACCACCCTGGTCCAGCACAATCTCTCTTGCCTGCCAAGACGCTTGTCTGGTTTTTCCCAGCCTCTCTGATTTCCTTCAATCCACTTTCCACATAGCAGCTGGAGTGGTCACCCCAGAGCAACGACTCTGATCATGATGAGCCACAGGGCCTTTGCATATGCTATCCTTCACATCCTTCCTCCTTTTTTCACCTGGTTAACTGCAATTCATTCAGACTCAGCTCAAGTGTCACCTCCTCCAGGAAGCTCTCCCAGGTTTTCCTGACTAGGTCAAATCCTCTGATACAGCCTCTTGTTGACACACTACAGTTTGCCACTGTGTATTTATTTCTGGGATTGCTTGATCAATGTCAGTCTCACGAGGAGACTGTGAAAAACTTGAGGACAAGGCCATGGCTGCTTCGCTCACCATTGCTGCCCCATGCCAAGAGCAGCTCCTGACACTTGGTGGGTGCCCAATAACCATTTGTTGAGTCAATAAACATTCAGTGAAGGGACGAGGTGGGCACCACAGGAAATTCCGAACCACGGGTAACCCCAAGTGGTTTGTGCGGGCTACGGTACTAGCCCTGAATTTGGGTTTCCGCAGTCCCAGACCCGGGCTATAGCAGGGTGGCGGGCTGCCAGCCTGGGTCCGGGGATGAGAGGCGGAACAGCATCTTCCCAGAAATGGGGACATGCAGTTCCACGACTCAACCACCAGGTGGCGAAGTGGCTCTGCCCAGGGGGCTGTTGGAGGGAGGGGCCCTAAATTAACGCCAAATTGGAGGCTGTCAAATTTTGGGGTCTCAGGGAGGGAGGTGAGGGGGTGTCACTGACTCCCCTGAGTATCAGATGAGCTCATGGGCCTC